TTGACAGTACCTCGTACATTCTTCTCCACGAGTCCTCAGTCATACACACTCAACGCAACCATTTTATAGGAGCACATTAAATCAGAGTGCGTTGGTGCTGATTAGTACGCAAGCGTTGTGAAAAATTGGCTAGAAAGAGAATCTAGCTATATGCACAAGCTATTCGGAAGCACCTGCATTTGGCTCACTAAACATGCCCTCAGGAACTGTTTGAATGTCACGTGTAGTGTATCGGTCGCGTGACCACACGTGGTGAGCATCAGCCTTACGTGAAAGCGGAATGTTTTTGTGTCGTGTGGAGCGGAAGCAAATTCCACCCAGCTAACTCTTTATTTTGGCCACAAAACGATGAAGTGACAGGGTGAAAGTGAGTGAAGAAAGCGGGTCCTGTCAATTACGGTACAAGGTGCATCGCTAATGCGATCAGATGCGGTTGCTGTGTAAGGAGCAGAGGCAAGGCAAATCGCATTGACACAAGTGCTTCGGATGGAGAAGCTAGTTCTAATGAAACAGATTGGTGGGGCGAAAGCACAACTGCATTTCTGTAGTCAAATCCTCGAAGGCGTCACCACCAACATCATCGACAATCCGGCACTAATGCAAATTGGCGCAATCCAAATGATATCCATTAACTCCTAGATATCTGGTGGGATGCTGGTGGAGGTCATGACATCCCTCAAATCCAGAACCACTTCAGGAACGCGCTGATGTAGAGCAAATTGAGGCGTTTGTTAGGTAAAAAGGTGTAATTACAATTACCACACTATGCATTTCAGACGTGCGTACGTACGAAATGACTGAATTTTTCGTGAGGGGCATTCCATTTGGGCTGAAAAGGGAATTCAAGCTGTTGCTACAGTCAGGATGTCGGCGGACAAAAGTGGAGGTGGGTGCGTGCATACGTCGTTGTGGAGTGATGATCGCAGTGAGTATACTGCATGCATTGTTGTGGATTGATGATGGCAGTGAGGATACTGCTATGGTGGCTGCTAACTCATTGTCTACAGCAGGTAGTTGCGTGACCTTTCGTGCAGTGGGTGGAACGACTTTTCGACACATTGACAACCCGCCATGTGACTACTCAAGGCAGGCGCGTCTTTCTGCACCTAACTCACGTTGTGTGCCAATGGACCCAGGTTAGTCCGCTCTGAAGGTAAAATGGAACCTCAATCAGGACATTATATATTCTGCTTTTGCAGGCTCCCTTTTCAATCTCCTCGGTGTGCAAGTTGATTTTTAACATAGTAGACAAGAAGGGCTTTCTTATGAGCTCATTTTGTTTACGTCACGAACAGCTCCATATCAGGTTGGGATGGAGACGGTAGTCCAGGAAAAAAAGAGCGTTAGAAAGTATTAACACACTGTGCAGTATCCTTTGAATCGACGAATGGTGGCATTCACTTTATGCGGATAAATTCGTGCCGATGTAAGTGCTGCAGTGAGAGACGTTGCAGAGCTCTGTCGCAAGGAATTGATGAGAGAGTAATGAGGTATGACAGAAGAAGCGATTACCCAATGGAAGAAGCTGAACAACTGTGGAAGGCAATTGTACAAATTAAAGTATTTGCAGGCAGTAAATACTCTCTCCCCGTGCCTCTCTCTACATCCCTTCCTCGCACTCTCCCCTTCTTCCTTCTGTGCCACTGTTTACCATTTGCTTGGCGTACCGATTAGAGATAGATCTGGCACCTGACAATGCAGAGGTGTGAAATTCGAACCCGCGCTGATAACGTAACAAGGACGTGCCACATGTAGGCGCTACGTCGGTGAGGATAGTGGCCCCATCCATTGTCCCCCTCACAAGGTGGGTGCCAACAGAGCAGTCAAAGTGGACTTCCTTTCCCTCAACTTATTGCTCCTACTGTGTGAACTGTAGACAGTTAACCTGGAAAAAAGAAAGAAAATGAAAGGAGAGGCAATTTGTGTAGTTGACGGAAGAATTGCAGAAGGTGTGGGTGTGGGTGAGGCGTTGATTGAATGTGCTCGCAGGGCATGACTACTTGATTTTCATGTCGTTAACACAAGTGGTACTGGTACTGTGATCATGCCAAACCCCACTTTCAAGTCGGTCTCGTGTTACATTATTTCGAGGATTGTCTCATTATTCGCGATAGCCAAGCCACAACAAGGCTGGTTGTTGCATACATGGTAAGACCTCAAGGTAGACAGCATCATACCATCTCTATATTGCTATTTCAACGCACTACGTATCTGCAATATAAACCCAGACTTCTGTCATGCATTGGTCTGTTTGATGTAGGACTCTCTGATGTC